ACAGACGACCCCGTAACAATATGCGTTTTGTACTGCTGTTACACAGCACAAAACGCATAATAAAAAGGAGGAATTGGGGCTGAGGGTAAATACTGAATTGGTTTTTTTGCAGTTTCAAAAAAAGTTTCTTGACTCGAGTCACTGTGATTGATTTGTCACACCTTATGTACTGCGAAAGCGACGTTTTTTTCTGCTAAACGCTTTGTACATTGTAGATTGTGGAAATATCGCGAATTGTACTTCTTTTAACTGTAAATGCAATTTTAGATGATAAGCGACCTTCAAAAACGTTTGGAAGAACTGCGCCGTCATTTGAATGAGGAGATCAAAGCCTATCAGTGTGAACAAATGGTCTGGAATGGGGGAGGTAGCCCTACTGGCTGTTGCTACAGTGGTGGTCGCAGCTGTGACAGTAATGGGAGCCACAGGAATCGTCCAATACTGCACATGTTGTGTCAAGAAGAAACCAGTGCTTGTATACAAATTTCGGTTTGTTCATTTAACTTGTTTCTTTTTAATTTAATTCTCTTGGCCTTGCAAGGCAGGCCTAGTAACGGGAATGAAGAGTCTCCCCACTCTGCTGCCACTCGGCCAATTTGTCGAAGCTCGTTGAAGTCGCGCCAGAGTTCTGTGGTGGGAAATTATTAGGAGTACTTACTGCCAACTTTGTCGTATATACGTATAATACATGTACACGCATACATACATACATACACATAGACAGGAACACACAATCACACTCCTATACACATCATGCCTGCCCATTTGCTGATGCTCTGTTGCTGTTGCTGTCAGCATCCTGGGTGTCTATCCATTGCGGAATACTAAGGAGTGTAGTGTGCGAATCAGCATCCCGCTAGTCATCCTGAAATTCCTTCTCTTGTCCGACCGTCTTCATTATGCGAGTATGTGTGCTAGTTTGTGTATCATTTTTTGTTATTAGATGGCTGCGACGTGCTTTTTTTTTTGTTTTGCGTCGCACAGCTCACCTACCGACGACAGGAATTGCCTCGTTTTGCTTTGTGGGGTGTTTTTGCGTGGCGTGTTGTTTTTTGTGCTTTTTTTCACAAAGTGTGATTGTGTCTGTCTCTCCGCTTGTCTCACTGATCCGGCTCGACAGCTTTGGAAGCTCTCGGTGGAGAAAACACTGGTAGCAGAGTGTTCGTGCAAATGCAGAAACACAAATCCTTCTTTCTGCTGACCTAATTTTCAGCCTAATCTGGTAATTCAGGAGTTTGTAAATAGCTGCGCGCATCAAGAGAACTGGTGCGATCATACGTTTTGCGCAGTTTGGTTCGGCGGATGTTTGCTGTTAAGAATATTCACTGCTTTACAGTTCGCGCAAAAGTAGTCAAAATATTGCCTAGTTCCCGAGCTATGGAATTTTCCACCGACAATCTCCCCGTCCGTACGTGACACCTAAACGTGCGTGGAAGCTGAATATAAATTTCTGAGCTCGTGCTCAGGCACGGAACATCCTCCTGTAATTAAAAATTCATAGATTTCCGGATTCCCATGTTAGTACTTTTCGGGCCGAAAATTTCGCGTGTCTGTACGTGAGACCTGGACATAAGTGGGCGCTGAATTTAAATTTTTGAGATCGTCGTTGGATACGGGACATCCTCAAAAATTTCAGCTTCCAAACTTTTCCGGTTCCCAAGTTGATGATTTTTGCTTTAAGTCTTTCACGTGCTTCTGAATGAAAGCTAAGCGTACGTGGGAGCCGAGTTTAAATTTCTGGGGACGCAAGTGGCCTAAAAGTGAGACCTGGACATACGTAAGGGATGGATTTAAGTTTGCGGCATCGCACACGGGTGAGTTCTCAGGAACTAGACGTACGTGGAGGCTGAATTTAAAACTGTGCGGTCACATATGGGTACGGGACATCTTAAGTTTCGTCATACTGACTTTTCTGGTTCGTGTATTGAAAACCGGAACAAAACACTTCTGGAATACACATGCAGCCAGGATCTTGAGAATATTCGTTTTGCCAGTTTTCATACCTCACTACATCCTCTCCCCAGGATTTCGGTGGCAAAATTTGCTTTGATCTTACATTTCAAAAAGAAATGAACAAGAAATTTCGAAGTTTTGGATCCCAGCTAGCCACCATATGCGAGTTTCAGCTTTCAAAACTGATCTGTCGTGGCCCTGTTACCTTCATCATTATATGGTGAATTAAGATATGGACCAAAAATTTGGCACGTATATTGCATTAGGCTAAAAATACGCAACGAATAGGTGATATCTGGTCTTCGTTTTTTGTATTCGAGAATCAACTACTGCGTATCAGCGTAATGGTACTTCCCAGCGCAAATCGGCAAACGGAGGACAGCGAGAACCGATAAAAACTATGTGTGCCTCGTTGCATTTGTAGAACAACCCGAATACGTCTCAATTCAGCAGTTAACAGTCTCGTAGCTGAGAACATATCGCTAAAAAGATGCGACATTAGTAGATGATTTCTGAAACATGAAGTATTTCTTCATTACGGATGGAATTTGTAGGAAGACTTCGGAAATACAACTTTCTGTGGTAAGTAGCTGTAGCAAATGGATTTGTGAACCGTATCCTTTCAATCCTGG